GGTTCTTTAGTCATACACAGGAACTCTGGGGGCCAGCTGTGAAAATGTGTTTCCCCCATTCTCCCAGAGTAAGATGACAAAAATCAAAGCAAAAATGAAAATCTGAAAGGGAGAAACAGCAGTAGCAAGTACCGCAGTATACGTAATAAGTTAAGTGTCACATTAAGGCACTGCATTTTAATTCACTTCTCATACAACTGAAGAAAACCTAGGCAAAAAAGCAGAAATATAAAGGCAGATCAAAGGGATAAACAAGTAAGAGCCATGAAAAGGAACTCTGAATAGCTCTCTCGTCTCCTGGTCACCGTATAAACTTCAGGTCTTTAAAGTTTACTTCACAGTAAACTATTTATTTCAATACACAAAATGTCCTTGTACACGAACACTGTTCCTGGATCTAGTGCATATCCCCATACCATTTAAATTCTCTATATCCTTTGAAAACAAGTCCAAGTCCATCTCTTCTTTAGAGCTGCTTATAAACTTCCCAGTCTAAAGCAGTCTTTCTAGTACCAGGCTTTAGTCTTCTGTGTTTATTTACCTGAGCTACTCAATAACTAGGGAATAATAGTGAAGTTCTGGTACATCTCTCATAATATACCACACATACTATTAATAAAGTTTCAGTATGTTAAGTGACTAAGCATGTTAAGTCACTAAGTATGTTAAGCATGTGAAATAAGATATTCTGCAATTCAAAACACTACATAATCACTTTCTAATACACCAAAAACATTGATTTCACATTAAATAAATTGCAAACTATGAGTTTGGTATTCATTGGCCCAGTTACAGTCTTCAGTAATTAAAGGCTTTCTGAAAGTTAGTAATGGACTTTGGAAATCATTTAAAATTACATACACAGGAATCCTAAAAGCGAAGTGGCAAGTCAAAAAAAAGTCAAACCACCACCATACACACACACAAACACACACACCCACAAAAAGCTTCAAAGCTTCAGTAACTAATACACTTTGAAAATATCAAATGCTAAAAAAAAAAAAAAAAAAAAAAAAAAAATTCTGGAAGCCAGCAGACAGGAAAGGGAAAATGTGCTCTGTGTATGTATGTGTGTGTGTTTAAAGAAACACCATACAGAGCTAGTATTTCAGTGGGAACTCAATTGTGTCACATCCATTAATAAAGCCTAGAAAGAAATTCACCAAAATTTAGTCCCTATTAATTATACGTGGTTTTTACTTTTAACTGATCCAAAATATTTCCTAAGGAGTATTTGTTCTTTCCAACAACTTTTAATTATTAAGAGGAAAGAATTCAAGCTTCTCAAAAAGTTTACAGATAAGAAACAATATTCAAACTACATACATCAGATGCACCATTCTTGGTCTTTGTTGTTGTTTTGAGACAGGGTTTCTTTACTTAGTCCTGGGGGTCCTAGACCCATCATGTAAACCAAGCTGGCTATAAAATGAGAGCTCCTCCTACCTCTGTCTCCCTCCCCAGTGATGGGACTAAACTCATAAGCCATAATGCATGACACACTGAGTATTCTCATCTACTCTCTGCTCCCTTCTAAAAAGTACAGCCCTAACTGAAAACTTCTGCATTCAATTCTCAATATTATAAGCATTACCGAAAATCAGTAAGTAAAATGCAAGCTGGTATAGTTGTACCAAGGTTCTTATGTCATTTTCTTCCTCCCTTGGGCTCCATTAAAAAAAAAAAAAAGAACAAAAAACACATCCATTCCTTACACTGGGAGTTGTTGTTTTGTTTTGTTTTTTGTTTTTAATTTCAAGTAACCAAGAAAAAGTGGTATTTTACAAATGAGAAAAAATATAAAGTAGAAAAATATATAATTTAAATGTATTGACTATTAAAGCACACATTTCCCAATCAGTAGTGAACAGCATTTTTTTTTTCAACAATTGTAAGGCACATTCTAAAACAAAATATATAATATTTACTTAACTAAAAAAAAAAAAAAAAAAAAAAGACTGACAAGAAATCCTATAATGCTATAAACTCTAACAATAAAGTGAGATAAGATTATGGTTTAACTGCTGATAACTTTTTATTGCTGTAATAAACTATCCTCAAAAGAACTTTCTCCTCATATAACAATCGTAAGCTATGACCAACATTTAACATCATAAGCACAATTACGTGCAATTCATCCTATTCCTGAGCAACCCCTTTCTTCACAATGTAAAAAACCAAAATGTTCTTTTCTGACAAGTCACTTCCCAACACATTTTAGTCACTAAATGCTCTTATGTGTACTGACATCCCCATCTGCTGGAACATAAGTTCCTTACTGCTAAAGATTCTTAACAACAAAAAGGTTGCAGTAGAGATTTTCCAAGTATAGAGAAATACAGCTTCAAAGGTTCATTTCTACCAAGGAGTTTTGTCTATCTCATACAACTTTAAAAGTATAAATAACTTGAACTGGCACTGAAAACTCATTTCCTGATACTTTCTACTCTGTTCCTATCCTTCATGGTAATATAAAAAGCACTGGTCTAAAGACAAAACATTCTCGCTTTAAGGTGTAGATCATGCCTCCATCACACACAGACCACACACACACACACACACACACACCACAGACCCAGAGTTACTTCTCATTTTAATATATATTTGTTCTCCTAATCTCTCCTGGGTTTGAGGTAAAAGTTACAAAAAAAAAAAAAAAGTACAATAAAAGAACTTACATAGCAAATATTGGTATCAAAAATCAATAGCAGCTAGGCATGGTAGTGCAGGCCTTTAATCCCAGCACTCAGGGAGAGTGGCAAAGCAGATCCGAGTTCCAAGCCAACCTGGTCTACAAAGTGAGTCCAGGATAGCCAAGGCTACACAAAGAAACCCTGTCTGGAAAACAAACAAACAAACAAACAAAAAAAGTCAATAGCAAGATTTAGAATTTAAGGCTAGAGAGATGGCTCAGAGGTTAAGAGCACTGGCTGCTCTACCAAAGGTCCTGAGTTCAATTCCCAGCAACCACAGGGTGGCTCACAACCATTTATAATGAGATTTAGTGACCTTCTGGTATGCAGGTATACATGCAGGCAGAGCACTATATACAAAAATAAGTAAATATATAAATAAATCTTTAAAAAAAGATTTAGCATTTAAAAAAGAAAAAACACTGCTCATAAAGGCAAAACAAACTAGAAATATAAATCACTAATTATGCATAAGATAGTAGTTTGCTGATCATTTTCATTTTGAGGATATCTCCTTTATACTACAGAAAGGAATCAAGTAAGTAATTATGTCATCAAAAATATTTACTTGGGGGCTGGAGCAATGGTTCTTCCAGGAGACACAGATCTTATTCCTATCACCCACATGGTGACTCAAAATTATAACTCTATTCCAGGGGGGTCGAACACCCTCTTCTGGCCTTCATGAGCTTCAAGGACACATGTAGTGAAAAGACTTGCATGCAGGCAAGACATACAAACACATAAAATATAATTTTAAAAATTACTACTTTGGTGATAAAATTGTTGTGATAAAACTACATAAAAATTGCAAACACACTGATTTAACTTCAAAATGAATAGCACCTACCTGCACCCACAGGAAATAGCCTAAAAATGATCACACAACAATAATAAATACTTTTTATTTAGGTTTGCACCTAACTACAGTCTGTAACGCCATTTAGAATTTAAAAACCAACCAAACAAACAAACAAAAAAAAAACACCTTAGTGAAATGGTTAGTTTTACATACAGGAACATAAAGCACACAGGATAACTGAGGAATACACTGTCCCTAAAAGCACGAAACATTCTAAAAGACAAAGGAGCCAATCTGATTATCCCTGGCCACAACTATCTATGAAATCCATATCCCTATAATGAGTATAATATAACAGGTCACCATCTGAGATGCTAACAAATCTATGGCTAAGTAATAATAACTGAGAAATCTACACAATATTCCCAACAGGATTTTATTTCAAATATCAATATCTACCCTGTTGTTCAGAGTTCAGTGTTTCAAAGACTACTAAGATACTAGCTGAAAGAGTGGTAGAATAAGAAAAGCATCATGGTAGAAGTTCTAATGAAATGAATTCAGGCAGATCAGCATCTGTTAAGACCAAAGCATAAATGGTTTATAACACTAACCTGAAGCTGAGTTACTACATTGATATCAAAACAGATAAAAAAAAAAAAAAAAAAAAAAAAAAAAAACCTTAGCTTTACCAAAGAACCATCCAGACTTTTGCCACTTTTGCACTCTAAACAAGGTAACAATCTGAGTTTTACTAACAGTGAAACTGACTACTGCCTCTACTGATTTGTTAAAAGTTAAGGAACACAGCAACAGCTCTGATGTATTCAAAAAATGCTACTTCAAACTGCTTTATCTTTTAAATCTAACTTCCTAAACCAAGTGCCACTCAACACTACACAGCAAGTTCAAGGCTAGTCTGATGTACAAAGTAAAGACCCTGTCTTAAACACACAAAACAAACAGCAAATTCTAAATAAATATATAAATAAATATAACTTCCAACATACTAAGGATACAAAGCATAAAGGAACAATCTCCCAACGAAGAAGTTCAAGTGAAGGCATTTTTAAAAGATGTTTCTAAATTTTAAAAGATGTAGAATTATAACAAGATTAAACCATTTGGTTTAGACACTGCAGAGAACAAAAAACATTCCAGATGCAAGTACAAAAATCTGAGTATTGACTGTACATACATTAATCTATTTTGTTAATGTGGTGTCACTAACACTAATTTTGAAAAATAGAAAATATAAGAATGGAGTATCAATGTATCTCTACTGTGTTTTAATCAATACTGAACATATAGTAAGTAGAAGTAAAACACAACAGCTATAGTAAGGTTCTCAGAAAATCTTCACTCTGCTTGGTAAAATAGATTTAACACATGACATCACTTTTACAAACCTCTCACCAAGACAAACTAATTCCAAAGTGTCAACAAAAGCAAACGTTTCTTCATTCTTTTCAACTTTCATTTAAAAAATAAAGTTCAATTCTTACCAGGTGGTGGTGGTACACTACTTCAATCCCAGCACCAGGGCAACACAAGCAGGTAGATCTCTGAATTCCAGGACAACAAGGACTACAAAAACAAAGCAAAACAAAAACAACCCTGTCTCCAAAAAAACCAGGCATATGCCAGTGTACACACACATACAGTGACACCTTTTACCTACTTTTCTTTCTCCTGGGGCATTCTCCACTTTCTCATTCACTTCATTCAATACTACCAGGACCAGGTCAAAAAGGTCTACTTGACACTTCAGCTCCATGACTTCTAAACTAACCTATAAAGGATTCTCTAGCACATAAAACTAGGAGATACGCACATCAATAAAGCACCTTCCTTCATCTTTCAGGTTTCTCTACCTTCTTATTCCTACCAGAAAGAACCTAAAAATGCTGACAGAAAGACTTCTCATATGAGCAGGCTTCTGCATATTATATCCCTCTACTTATTTCGTTTGGAAAGGGGGTTAATTCCATTTATAAGAATAAAACAAATGATATAGCATTTGCCTAGAATGTCTGAGGCTGTAAGTTCAATTCTTAGCATACTGTAGCTAAGTAATAAAATTACTGTAGGACTGCCAACAAAGAACTGAAACTTCTAGTCACTGCTCCCCTGTACACTGGTAAGGAAACATACTGTAGGAACCCAACGCAGCACACCTACTTCTCAGCTCACAGTAAGCTTCCTTTAGAGCCATGGTTCTCTACAATGGGCACAACCCCTTTGGGGTGGACGACCTTTCCACAAGGGTTACATATAAATATCCTGCATATCAGAATTATAATTCATAAGAAAAGCAAAATTACAGTTATGAAGTAGCAACAAAATAATTTTATGGTGGGGGTCACCACAACATAAGGAACTGCATTAAAGGGTTGCAGCAGTAGGAAGGTTGAGAAATGCTGCTTTAGAGTGTCAATCTCCAGATACCTCCCTGATTAAAATAAATAAATAAATAAATAAATAAATAGATAAATAAATAGATAAATAAATAGATAAATAAATAATAAAGCAAAACAGGGCTGTAGTCCCATGCAGATCAAAAAACTGAAGCAAACTTATGTTCTTGGCTTGAATCACTTCAACAGTATTAAGCCTCTATATTAAATCTCATCAAAAATACTGCTTCTTATGAGTGTTGCTAAAAATAACTAATAAAAATAGCAACAGTGATAAATGAAGACTAAATTCATTTGTATAACAATATTTTAAAAACTAAGGCTCTATCCTTTGGTTACAGAAAAGTTCAAGTAAATTTAAATCTTCCAAACACACCTTTGGACTCTCTCTTTTAGGATCCCAACTGTTGGGGGTGAGGGGGAAGTCTTACTTTTTGCTATTTTAGAAAGAATTCTAGCTCCAAGAAATTGACCAGTATTTGTTAAAGTCCAGAAATGGCAAAATTACTTCCATTTTCTTCGTGTTTACAGCTAGAAGTGTTAACAGTTTTGCAGAGCATGGAAATGTTATAATTCTCTTCCTCTCAGTCCACTTACAAGAGAGGCACATCATAAAACAAACCAGCATACAGAATGAAGACTCCTGCACCACTTGTGATAAGGGCAAGTCCCCACTCTCCAGACTACAACTATATCCTTCTGATCTCAGGTCCTAGCAGTTCTAAAGCAATATGATCAATTGATACAACGCTAATTTCCCCTCCACTAAAACATATCCAAGAAATGTCTTTCTTTGAATTATTCCTATATTCTCTTCCACACTAATTATGAGTCAATTCTGAAACTAGGTAAATGTATGACATTGAAGTTTATGGAACATTTCAAATTTTTAAAATCCATAGTTCTTTAAAATTTTTTGATTATGTGTATATGGGCATTTTGCCTGACATGATTGTGTGCCATGTCTGTTTGCATGCGCAACACACACACACACACACACACACACACACACACACACACACACACAC